TGGTTAATTTAATTGTGGTGGCATTAATTGTGGCTTGTTATTACTCCACATTAGCCTCACCCATATATGGAAGGTAGAGAGTGTGGGAGTATGGTTCATATTTTTTATAGCTAGAGTACTAGACTAAAAAAGAAATTGATTTAAATTTCATAAATTTTTAGTCATTTGTTACATGTATTTATTAAATCTCAGTTTTAAATTATTTACATCATAAACAGTCAAAAAAACGCATTATGTTGCAATGATTATTATTATTGATTATTAGCTAAGACTTATATTTACATGTTTTGCAAAATTTGGTAAATAATATGTATTAGAATTTGTGAGTTTCAAATATTTGTTTGTAATGTTATTGAATTTCTAATTTTATTTTTTGTATAATGCAAAACATTTGACGACCACTATATATGCCATCTATAGAGATACTCTTTCAGTATGATGCTTGATAGAGAAATCACTGTAAAATGGAGACAAACTTAATTAGAGCTAAACTATCCGCTTTTTTGTAAGTTTATCAATTCATTAAAAATCTTGTTTTTATAATATAGCATAAACAATTCAATTTTAATAATTTGACAATCAATAATTATATAAAAATCCTATCACAAATTTATAGTTTTTTAGTAAAACTATTCTGTAAGAGAATTGTTTATTTTCTCTTGTTTTCAAAAAGTTGTAATGATTTAAAATTTTTAGTGATTGGTCAAATTAATTATTATGTATAAGATCTACAATAATTTTGGCGCAGTATTGTATGTCCAGTACTATATATTTATACATGTATACAGTATATAATTTGTTTGGTTTTTATTTGCCCCAATGTAATTTATTATATTGTGTATTGGGATCTATTTATAATACATATACAACAAATTCTATTGATGGTTCACGAATGAATGGCAATTTAATCAATGAAAAAGTTGCCCGCATATTTGACTAATATTATTAATTTATTTTTTAACTTAATAAAAATTAGAAAAAAGCAAAGTTTTTTGTTATCAAGCTACACATAAGAACCAATCAAAATCAGCAGATTGCATGTCGGTACACGCATTTGTACATGTACATGTATATTGATATAGAATTAAAAATTCATTTTTCCATATCGATATGAAAACCATTTACGTACGTGTACATGTACATGCTAGGGATAGGAATCGATTCTCAATCCAGAATCGATTTCAAATCGATTAATTATTTTGATTATTCGATTAATCGTTTTAAATAATTTTAATTTGAGGAATCGATTCTCAACTCAAAATCGATTCTCGAGCACAAATTACGACGATAACGACGACGACGACAGCAATGACATACCGGATCTTTGGTTTTGTTTTTATTGCATATTGATTTTTTCTCTTTTCGTTGGAATAGTTGAAGTTATACTTTGATTAGTTGAAATAATATTTTGATTAGTTGAATTCGTAGAGATACTACGTGGTAAAGATAGTATAGAGGCAGTTGAAGTATTGTGATTCTGTATCTGTATCTGTTTCATTACATGTATTTTCTGTTGTTTCATAAATATCATTCAAGTTTGGATTACTTTTGGCTATCAGAGTTATTAATAATAGTTTCTTGATTATTATCAATATTAACATTTTTGTTGAATGAGAGTACGTAGTTTGTCGTGCGTTGTAAAATTTACCAAGTAAAATCATGATTTTCCGATTGTTATTGTCTTTAAAATCGATTCTTAAATTTAATCGAGTTCCATATTAATCGATTCTCAGAATCGATTCCTATCACAAAAGAAACTATATATGTAAAAACGGTCATGATATTGGAATTGGATACGTATGTAGCAAATTTTGTGTAGCGTATACATTATCGATATAAACATAACGATAAGAACTTAAACTCTAATGGAATTTATGTTTTAGTAAAAATGCAATTCTTGAATATATGTCACAAAATTCATTTCATTATAGCATTATGTCTCACTTCAAAATTTTGGCACTTAGATGTATTTGTCTATTCTACGCCAAGCCAAACCCTGGTTTTCCACTCTTCTTTCTTATTTCGAGAAAAAATTTACTTTATTGGTGGCCAATTTTCGAATAACAGTCTTTTTTATTTAGATTTGACCGTAGATTGGAATGCTCAAAATCCCGTATTTGCCAAGGCTGATGGTTTGTTGGATTTATCTACGCTACGATATGCAACTACTAACTTGGTAGTGAAAGATAATCAACCGTTCGTTTATATATATGGTGGAAAATACTATGTTAGGATTCAATTCTTAAATTGCTATTAAATTGTTGTTAATATTTAATTGATTTAAATATTTAATACTTTCTTTTGAATAGAAAACAGATAATATCAATAGTGAAATGTTAAAAGTTGATTTAAGCAATACTCCATATACATATACCAAGGTTATACCACATGGACAACCACCGCCTGAACCTCGCTCGTATGTTTCCTCTGTGGTTGATAGTTTTGGAAGAATTTATATATGGGGTGGAAACGCTGAAGACACATATTATTCAAACACATACTATGATAACACAATGTATATATTCGATACAAACTCGTCAACATGGACTTACAATATGCCATCATATGCACCAGATGCTAGAGATGATTATACTGCCACTTTATTACCAAATGGAAAAATTATCTACATTGGTGGAATATACACAGATTATGGTGATGGTGTTAATATTAATGAGGTATTTAATTTTAAGTAACTTAACTGGAAAATATTCAAAAGAATCATTAAAATAGTTTATGTATGCTGATTAATAACAGATTTGGATTTATGATACATATAAGACTCAATCACCCTGGAGTTTAAAGGTTTGTTAGTTAACATATGCTTATAAATTATGTATATATATTTATTAAATAAATTGCTTCATTTACTAGACTGCAAAAAATTATACGGAACTAGTTAATAGATATGGTCATTCTGCAGTTTTAGGTTGGTATTCCTAAAAAACTCATTACTTGTTTGACAAAAATATAATAATAGAAAACTAAGAATAATAAATTGATATAATAAGCACCCGATGGTTATAGTATTATTGTATACGGAGGAGAATCTCCACGTTCAGTGCCAACATCAAACTTTGGCTTATTGGTTTTGGATACTCGAGATTATTCGTGGAATCAACCATATTCACAAAATGCTCCTGACAAATATAGTATACCCAAATATCATACTGCTACTGTTTATCAGAATTACATGATTGTTACTTTTGGTAAGCTAATATTTGATTAATGTTATCTCAATTTATACAAATATATACGATAAAAATTAATTTGTTAATTAAAAATCAAAATAGGTGCACTAAGAGCCTCAGGCACTTATCTGTCCTCAGCACAAATTCTTGATCTTTCTAACGGAAACTATAAGTGGATTGGAGATTTTATTGTTCCGACATCGTCAAAGAAAAAAATCATTATTATTGTGACTATTGTATCAATAATCGTTGTTGCTTTGGTGATCGGAGTGTCTGCATTTTTAATTAATAAGCGTCGAAAAAAGAAACTCCTTGTGACGACAAATCTACAAACTACAAATATTCCGCCACCATTGAGTTATTCCGATCTTCCATTTAGTAATAACAATACTACTAATAATCAAACAGCAGTAGTTAATGTCCCGCATGAGCAATTACCAGAAGCTGTATCTAGTAGAGAAAGTAATCCGTTGAGGTATAATCCAATCGCAAATCCGATTATTGTTGATAATCTTTCTGGTAGCATAACTCAAAATTTGCCTAGTTTGATTGAAAATAAAAAACGAAATTAGAAAATAAGTTTTAGCGTTAGACAATTCAATTGCTTCTATTTTGAGATTTTCATCATAAATAGTCTAATTCAAGAGATAACCGTAAAAGTTTTTATTATAAAATTTTAAAAGTAAAAATTGCAACTAATGTTTTTGACATATTTTTTTGATAATTTTTTTGATGATGGTGATGATGACTTTATTTTCAGAGATAGTATTAATGTTATCAAATTTTATTTTTTTTTAAAACTGATTTCAAGACACTATTAATCGAATCTTTTACCCGCATATGAAAAATTTACGTATCAAGTTTTAGCAATGGTTCATTCGATGTCTACGTATTTAATAAATACGTAAATCAAATTGGATCATACATGTATGTTCATGTACGTGTACGTATTAACGTTAAGAATTTGCCCAGTTAAATGTAAATCATCGTACGTAATTATGTATTTACAGAATATATGTAGAGAAGGAATAGGTCCACCTGTATTGCAAACTGTTCCTTTAGAACATTTTTGATCAAATGGGACGCCTGTTTATGAATCGGTGCCATTAAATAAATTGCAAACAAAGTAATAATTGTAAGAGCTTATTATCGTTATAGTTTCTTAAGTTTACACAAGTTTAATTTTTTTGATCTGCTATATTTATTATCAACCATATCGTAAGAAATATATGTATTTACTAAAGTGGAATAAATAAGAAGCTATAATATTTATGTCAACTTTTAATTAAATAGTCAAAATTTTACATGTAATAGTTAGCTACGATATATATGGGGTGGAGTCAGTAGAAAAGGGACAAATCGATTAGAGTAATTTACTCATATAATGAACCTTATAAAAAATCGATCGATAGACAACGATATACAAAGATGGGTTTTTTTTCTCTGAGCCTATAGAGCGCCAATAAAAAATTTTTATTGGCACTCTTATATGTATTCAATAAATAATATATGCATTCGAATAAAATTGCATTTAACCATTGGCTTGATTTTTAGATTTTAAACTTGTACTATAAAAAATTTAGTTTTATGAAGTCATTGAGTTTTCTTTTGGCTATGCTTAATTAGGTGTTTGAATTCTGACAAAAAGTTTTATCTTTTAATTCCTGTTCTTTAATTTCAAACTCATTATCAGTTATTATTTTTTTTGTATATATTTGAATCATTCTCATCTTCTATTATTGTTATTTTTCTAGTATGATTATAATTTATCTCGTTGTTCAAATATTAATGTTAATTTACTTAGCGTTAGTCAACACATTTTTTGATTTGGCTAATACGTATTTGGTGCTTGGGATCGCTATTAATTTTTTATAATGCCATTTAAAGAATTATTAGATCGCTATTTTTATTATTATTTATTCCGAGCTGATGAAGAAAACAAAGACAGTCATGAGTAAAGTGACAGCTGTGAATAAATCCTCTGATGATCGGATGCCGCTGACTTGTCCGAAAGCGCCGCTGGGAGTCTTGCTGGTGGTATTATTGATATTTGATATGCTTGATGGTTTAGTTCCATTAATGCTGTTGGTTGCGCCAGGCGTGCTAGTTACGACGGCAGATGCGGCAGCTGTGGCGGGGCCAGATGCGGCGCCAGATACGGCAGATGGGCCGTAAGATGCGGCAGATGCGGCGCCAGATACGGCAGATGGGCCGTAAGATGCGGCAGATGCGGCGCCAGATACGGCAGATGGGCCGTAAGATGCGGCAGATGCGGCGCCAGATACGGCAGATGTGGCGTAAAATGTGGCAGATGTGGTGTAAGTTACGGCATAAGATGCGCCAGATGCGACGCCAGATACGACAGATGTGGCGTAAGTTACAGTTACATATTCAGCAGCATATGAAGAGGCAATAGCCAACATGATAACTAAAACAAGAGTATAATATAGATTGGCCTTCATTATTATAGTTGTTGAGTGTCAAAGAATCTGTAATTGCGTAGAGTGAGTTATTTTTTTCGAATTTTACCTATGAAAAAACCAGTCTTGAGACCACATCATTTTATAAGCCAAAACAACAAACTACATGTATTAAAAATATACTGTGTAACCATCAAACGTATTCACAATTCATTACGTGACACCAATGAATGCCAAGAAAATTACATGTACTGTAATTTGCCATTTAGAATACCCCCCATAATATCACACCCCCATGAATTGTACCCGGTCCGATGCATGGTTTACAAAGTGAGTAGAATGTAACGTACCCCTTGTAATTCTGGTCAAATATAGGCTGTACAAATCGGATTTTAGCTGGTGGAATGTAACCTACCCTAAACGGCAAATTACGGTAATGTCATTGTGAAGCTATGTGACTACTATGAAAAATCAAATTCTAGAATTACATTGAGAAACGACCGAAAAATCGTAGTGACACAAAATTTTACTATGACAACTAGCTTTCGACCTCTAAGTAAAAATTCTCGGTGCAGAAATTTTATATATGTGAATACATGTACAGTCGCCACAGAAAGTAACGCCCGATTTGGATGTGCAACATCAACATAAATTTAAATGTGGCGGTTTT